CTTTTTCTGGCTGGAGGATGGTTTGTTGTGTAGTTACCCAGACGTTGGTTTGTTTTCCTGATTTTATATGTAGATATGTGCAAGGGACAAGTTCAGTGTTTGCAGATGATATGAAACTTTGATGCATTGTAAACATGGATGCAATGATGTACTGGTCTTCCCATCATTGAGGATGGGGATGTTTGTGGAGCCTCCTCCTCCAGTTTCTGATGAATAGTCACCAGATTCACAATGTTAGCTCTGCTTTCTTCCCACAGATGCTGCCAGACCTATTGAGTTTCTCCAGCAATTTCTGTTTGTGTTTCAGATCTTCAGCATCTGCAGGTCTTAGTTTGTTTTTACTGTTCATGACTGGATGTGACAGGATTTCAGAGTGAAGAGCTGACCCATTGGTTGTAGGATCACTTCGCTCTATATTGTGTACTGCTTCCATTGTAATGCAAGTAGTCTTGCGCTGCAACTTCATCAGGGTGACACCTCCTATAAAGTACACCTGGTGCTGCTCTTGGCATGTCCCCAGACTTAGAGGGGAAGAGATGTAGTGATTGTCTGGGGACATAGGTCTGTTCTTTTTCTGGTAGCCTTTCCTGGGCGTATTTATACTGTGTCCACTACCTCTGACTCTGCCTCACCATAGCCTGCCTGCAGCGCCCAGAGCGTCTTGACTGAAACTCATCTTGAGGTGGCAGCAGCATTAAGGCTGCGACATCTGTCCATGTCCATCTCGTCCTCAGAGGTTTCTTTAACGCTGGGCAAAGGGGGAGAACCCAGAGGTTCCGACAACCACGCTGGATCTTCTGATGGGCTGGGTATGTTTTCCTCCTGAATAAAAACCGAAAGAACTGCAGATGCTGTAAATCAGGAACGAAAACAGAAGTTGCTGGAAAAGCTCAGCAGGTCTGGCAGCATGTGTGAAGAAAAAATCAGAGTTAACTTTTCAGGTCCAGTGACCCTTCTTAGAGCTCAGTTCACAGATGCTGCCAGACCTGCTGACCTTTTCCAGCAACTTCTGTTTTTATCCTGATTTACAGCATCCGCAGTTCTTTTGGTATTTATTTTGTAGCTAAGAAAATGTCAGTTTACTGCCAGACCTGCTGAACTTTTCCAGCAACTTCTGTTTTTGATCATGTTTTGCTCCATGTGCAAGGATCCAGCTTTCATGTGGTCCATGTGCTTGTTCAGGACTGCGTCTCCTATCCAAGCTTTGTATGTCACAGGACCTGACGTCATATCGACCATGCCTCTTACCAATGCAGCGCCATTCCTGCAGTTCCTACACCAAACTTCGCCCCCTGAAGTGAACTGTCTCTCTCGTTTAGAGGACCCTCCCTCCCCCAGATCTGGGAAGATCAGGTTTAACCTGATGTGGGGGCTTCTCCCCATTAGCAACTCTGTTGGAGCTATCTCTGTAGTTGCATGAGGAGCAGTCCTGTAATCAAACAGGAACCGGGACAGTTCGGAAGAAGCAAATTATTGCAGATGCTGAAATCTGCTTTGATGAAGGGTCATCTAGACTCAAAACATTAGCTGGTTTTCTCTCCATGGATGATGCCTGACCCACTGTTATTTCTAGCATTTTTTTGTTTTCTGGACAGTTTGGTATTGAATGAAGCTGTAGACTGTTTCTTTAAGTCTGCCTTCAAAATTTTTACTGTTCTTTCCTCCAGACCATTGGATGATGGATGATGCAGTACTGTCCTTAAATGCCATTCGACTTCAGGAAATACTCAAATTCCCTGTGGTAAATGATGGCCCTTTGTCTGTGACCGACACCTCCGGGAGTCTGTGTATTACAATAGATGCTGACAACTTTTCAATTGTTCTCCCTGTGTTTGATGAATGAACTCTGTGTACGTCCAACCACGTTGAATGGGCATCCACAGTGACTAAGAACATTGAACTGATGAAACGACCAGCATAGTTGATGTAAAACTGAGTCCAGGGTTTATCTAGCCATTCCCATGAGGCTGGGGAAGCTGCTGGTGGTAATTTTTGATAACAAGGTGTAGAGCTGGATGAACACAGCATCAAGCAGCATCAGAGGAGCAGGAAAGCTGACGTTTTGGGCCTAAACCCTTCTTCAGAAATGGGGGAGGGGAAAGGGATTCTGAAATAAATAGGGAGAGAGGGGCAGGCAGACAGAAGATGGATAGAGGAGAAGATAGGTGGAGAGGAGAAAAACAGGTCAAAGAGGCGGGGATGGAGCCAGTAAAGGTGAGTGTAGGAGTTAGGGAGGAGATAGGTCAGTCCAGGGAGGACGGGACAGGTCAAGGAGGCGGGATGAGGTTCGTAGGTAGGAGATGGGGGTGGGGCTTGAGGTGGGAAGAGGGGATAGGTGGGAGGAAGGACAGGTTAGGGAGGCGGGGACGAGCTGGACTGGTTTTGGGATGCGGTAGGGGGAGGGGAGATTTTGAAGCTTGTGAAGTCCACATTGATACCATTGGGCCGCAGGGTTCCCAAGCGGAATATGAGGTGCTGTTTCTGCAACCTTTAGGTGGCATCGTTGTGGCACTGCAGGAGGCCCAGGATGGACATGTCATCTGAGGAATGGGAGGGGGAGTTGAAATGGTTTGCGACTGGGAGGTGCAGTTGTTTAGTGCGAACCGAGCGTAGGTGTTCTGCAAAGCGGCCCCCAAGCCTCCGCTTGGTTTCCCCAATGTCGAGGAGGCCATAACGGGAACAGTGGATACAGTATACCACGTTGGCAGATGTGCAGGTGAACATCTGCTTGATGTGGAAAGTCTTCTTGGGGCCTGGAACGGGGGTGAGGGGGGAGGTGTAGGGGCAGGTGTAGCACTTCGTGTGGTTGCAGGGAAAAGTGTCGGGTGTGGTGGGGTTGGAGGGGAGTGTGGAGTGGACAAGGGAGTCCCAGAGAGAGTGGTCCCTCCGGAAAGCAGATAAGGGTGGGGAGGGAATAATGTCTTTGGTGGTGGGGTCGGATTGCAGATGGCGGAAGTGTCGGAGGATGATGCGTTGGATCCGGAGGTTGGTGGGGTGGTACGTGAGGACGAGGGGGATTCTTTTTTGGTTGTTATTGCGGGGATGGGGTGTGACGGATGAGTTGCGGGAAATGCGGGAGACACGGTCGAGGGCGTTCTTGACCACTGAGGGGGGAAGTTGCAGTCCTTGAAAAACGAGGATATCTGAGATGTACGGGAGTGGAATGCCTCATCCTGGGAGCAGATGCGGCGGAGGAGAAGGAATTGGGAATAGGGGATGGCATTTTTGCAGGAAGGTGGGTGGGAGGAGGTGTATTCTAGATAGCTGTGGAGTCGGTGGGCTTGAAATGGATATCGGTTTCCAGGTGGTTGCCAGAGATGAAAACAAGAGAGGTCCAGGAAGGAGAGAGAGGTATCAGAGATGGTCCAGGTGAACTTAAGGTTGGGGTGGAAGGTGTTGGTGAAGTGGATGAACTGTTCGAGCTCCTCGTGGGAGCACGAGGCTGCGCCGATGCAGTCATCAATGTAACGGAGGAAGAGGTGGGGTTTAGGGCCAGTGCAGCTATGGAAGAGGGATTGTTCCACGTAACCTACAAAGAAGCAGGCATAGCTTGGGCCCATGCGGGTACCCATGGCCACCCCCTTTGTCTGTAGGAAGTGGGAGGAATTGAAAGAGAAGTTGTTGAGGGTGAGGACGAGTTCGGCTAAGCGGATGAGGGTGTCAGTGGACGGGGGACTGGTTGGGCCTGCGGGACATGAAGAAGCGGAGTGCCTTTAGGCCATCTGTATGGGGAATGCAGGTGTATAGGTACTGGACATCCATAGTAAAGATGAGGTGTTGGGGACCGGGGAATTGGAAGTTTTGGAGGAGGTGGAGGGCGTGGATGGTGTCATGGACGTAGGTAGGGACTTCCTGGACCAAGGGAGAGAAAATGGAGTCCAGATAGTTGGAGATAAGTTCGGTGGGGCAGGAGCAGGCGGAGACAATGGGTTGAGCAGGGCATTCAGGTTTGTGGATTTTGGGAAGGAGATAGAAGTGGGCGGTGCAGGGTTGGGGAACGATGAGGTTGGAGGCCATGGGTGGGAAGTCACCTGAGGTGATGAGATTGTAGATGGTTTGGGAGATGATGGTTTGGTGCTCGGGGGTGGGGTCATGATCAAGGGGGCGGTAGGAGGAGGTGTCGAAGAGTTGGCATCTGGCCTTGGCGATGTAGAGGTCAGTGCGCCATACTACAATTGCGCCTCCCTTGTCCGCAGGTTTTATGGTGAGGTTGGGATTGGAGCGGAGGGCTGCATGTTCTGCGGGGGAGAGGTTGGAGTGGGAGAGAGGGGTGGAGAGGTTGAGGCGCTTGATGTCTCGACGGCAGTTGGAGATGAAGAGATCGAGGGAGGGTAGGAGGCCTTGGGGTGGTGTCCAGGAGGAGGGGGTGTGTTGGAGGCAGGAGAAGGGTCAGTAGAGGGAGGGCTAGGCTCTCGGTTAAAGAAGTAAGCGCGGAGGTGGAGGCGGCAGAAAAACTGTTCAATGTCCAAGCGTGAGACAGTAGCACCCAGCCCTGCTGGGTCTTCACCATCCCCCCGGACCTCCCCCTTACTGAGGACGAACGGTCAGTCCTCAGTAAAGGGCTCACCTTTGTCCCCCTCCACCCACACATCAACGAATACTGCTCACGCTTGGACGTTGAACAGTTTTTCCGCTGCCTCCGCCTCTTTAACCGTGAGCCTAACCCTCCTTCTTCAGAAAAAAAGGGTCTAGGCCCGAAACGTCAGCTTTTCTGCTCCTCTGATGCTGCTTGGCCTGCTGTGTTCATCCAGCTCTACACCTTGTTATCTCAGTTTCTCCAGCACTTTGTTTTTATTCCATATTCCCATCTTCTGCAGTTCTTTCAACTTATTGACAGATTTTTATTGTCCAAAACCATTCAGGAATGTCAGGAGCACCTTTTGAAGCTGTGTCCAACACGGTAGTGATTTGCTATTTGACCTTAGCCAATAGAGGATGCATCGTGTTGATATGTTTATTAAATGTGGTTTATCTGTTTTTCTCTCCACCTTTTCCCTCAGCTCCTAACAGATCTGCTCCAAGCAAGGAGCCAAACACTTCCACATCCAAGAAGTTCAACAAACCAGACAGTCGGAACTCTGCTGCTGATCAGTCCACCCTCTCTCCTGTCAATGATTTGCAAGGTACTGTGTAACCCCAGAGCCTGAATAGAATAAGTTCCTCGTGAGTCAGAATGGAATAAAATAAACTTTGGATGCTGGGAATACACACCAAGTTGATTGAAAAAGATAGCTTCACTTTTTTCATGAAAATCTCAGATCATTGTTTTTCCTTTCAAATCCATACAATGTGCCTCAAAGGCCTCCTCCAATTCTTTATTCCGGTAGGCATTCTTTGCTCTCTGTTCCCCATGGCAGCAAGAGGAATCCAATTTAAGACCTCCTCCCCACCTCACAGAAGGCCTCCCTGTCTGGCCCTGGTGAATCCCTCCAATCATCTTTTTCTTTGGGCTCGACCTTTAATCTCTGGTGTAGGCCTAGCCACCACTTTCGGTTCTGGGTCACTCCTCCCCTATGATATCGCAACTGGATTTCCATGGAAGGAATTTCATATCGCTGTCTGATTGAGATTAAATTCCATCAGGTCTCCCAAAATGGCTGTGTAGAGTGTAGCACCAGTTTTCAGTTAGTGAATGCCCCCCTCCCCTCACTACAACCATTGAGTTCCACCCAATATTTCAACAGAACTGAGAATCTCTCAATATGTAATACATTTTAAACCACTGAAAGGGGGAGTTGAAAGCAACCAGAAGGGAAGGTCTGTAATAGAACAAAGTAAGGATAGATGAAGTGACAAAGGAGATGGTGGTGCAAGGTCAGAGGGAACGAGAATGAGACACATGCGGAGACAAAAACTGTGTCTAGAGAAGGTGCGAATGGCAGAATGATGGGCAGCTGCTGCACGGAAGGGAAATCAAGAGACAAACAATAGGAAAACCAAAACCTGCAGAGTGAAACAAAATAACGTTGGGGCAGAGATTATGGTGTGAAACTGTTGAGAGTCCAAAGAGATTCTACAGGTATATTAAGAAGAGGGCCCCTTAAACATCAGCAAAGCCATCTATGTATGGAACCACAGAGGATGGGTGAGATCCTAAACAAATATTTTGTGTCAGTATTTACAATAGAAAAGCACGCGGAAGCTAGGGAATGTGGGGAAATAAATACTGATGTCTTCAAAAGAGTCCACGTTACAGAAAAGGAGGTGCTTGACATCTTAAAATGCATAAAGGTAGATAAATCCCTTGGACCTGATCAAGTTTATCCCGGGACATTGTAGGAAGCGTTAGAGAGAAGAAGGTTAAGAGGTGACTTAATAGAGACATACAAGATGATCAGAGGATTAGATAGGGTGGACAGTGTGAGCCTTTTTCCTCGGATGGTGATGGCTAGCATGAGGGGACATAGCTTTAAATTGAGGAGTGATCGATATAGGACAGATGTCAGAGGTAGGTTCTTTACTCAGAGAGTAGTAAGGGCATGGAATGCCCTGCCTGCAAAAGTAGTAGACTCGCCAACTTTAAGGGCATTTAAATGGTCATTGGATAAACATATGGATGATAATGGAATAGTTTAGGTTAGATGGGCTTCAGATTGGTTTCACAGGTCGGCGCAACATCGAGGGCCGAAGGGCCTGTACTGCGCTGTGATGTTCTATGTTCTGTATTCTATGTTCTGTGAAGCAAGGGAAGAAATTGTGGGGCCCCCCAGCCGAAATTTTTATTGTGGATAGCCATGGATAAGATGCTGGAAAACTGGAGGCCGGCTAATGTTGTGCCATTATTTAAGAAAGGCTGCAAGGAAAAGCCAGGGAACTACAGACAGGTGAGCCCGATGTCTGTGGTGGATAAGTTATTGGAGAGGATTCTGACGGACATAGAACGTCGAACAGTACAGGCTTTTCGGCCCACGATGTTGTGCTGGCCTATTGTCCTACTAAGATCAATAAATGGTCTACTTGCATTTGGAAGGGCAAGGACTGATTAGGGATAGTCACCATGGCTTTGTGCAATGGTGGCAATTGTGTCTCACAAACTTGATCTAGTTTTTTTAAAGAGGTAACCAAGAAGATAAATGAAAGCAGAGTGGTAGACATTATATGGACTTTAGCAAGGCCTTGGACTGGTTAGTAGGGTTAGATCACATGGCATCCAGGGAGTGCTGGCCAAATGGATGTAGAATTGGTTTGACGGTCGGAGACAGAGGGTGTTGGTTGAGGATTGTTGTTCAGATTGGAGGTCTGTGGCCAGTGGTGTGCCGCAAGGGCCGCTGCTGGGTCCACTGTTTGTTTTATGTCTAAACAATTTAGATGAAAATATGGGAGGTATAGTTAATAATTTTGAAGAAGGTTATGTAAGAGCACAACGGAATCTTGATCAATTGGACCAGTGGGCCGAGGAATGATAGATGGAGCTTAATTTAGATAAATGTGAGATGTTGCATTTTGGTATGACAAACCAGGGTAGGACTTACATAGTTAATCGTAGGGCCCTGTGGAGAATTGGCAAACAGAGGAATCTAGGGGTGCAGGTACATAGTTCCTTGAAAGTCAGAGTGTTGAGTCCAGGAGTTGAGACGTCATGTTACGGCTGTACAAAACATTGGTGAGACCACATTTAGAGTACTGCGTACCATTCTAGTTACCCTGCTATTGGAAGGGTGTTATTAAACTGGAAAGGGTACAAAAAAGGTTTCCAATGATGTTACTGAGACTGGAGGGTTTGAGTTATAAGGAGAGGCTGGGTAGGCTGGGACTTTTTTTCCCTGGAGTGTAGGAGGCTGACGGGTGACCTTATAAATGTTTATAAAGGGCATAGATAAAGTGAATAGCCAAGGTCTTTTCCCCATGTACGGGAGTACAACTACAACATTTAAAAGATACTTGGATAAGTACATGGATAAAAAAGGTTTAAAAGGATATGGGCCGAAGGCAGGCAAATGGGACTAGTTCAGTTTAGGAAACCTGATTGGCATGGATGAGTTGGGTCAAAGGGTCTGTTTCTGTGCTGTAATGACTCTATGACTATGTTGAACTAATCTTGAGACCAGAAGATTGTATTACAAAATTGAAAGATGAGGTTTTATTCCTTGAGCTTGTATTGAGCTTTTCCCCATTTGTATTTTCATCCAAATAACCATCCAATGTCCCTTTTGAATGCCTTAATTGAACCTGCCTCCCCCCCCATTTATTTCCAGGCAGCACATTCCAATCCCTGACCACTCGCTGCTTGAAAAAGCTTGTTCTCAATTCACCTTTACTTTGTTTGCACATCACTTTAAATCTATGCCCTTTCATTCTATTCCTTTTACGAGTGGGAACAGCTTCTCCCTGTCTACTCTGTCCACTCTGTTGGTTTAGATAGAGGATCTGGATCGGCGCAGGCTTGGAGGGCCGAAGGACCTGTTCCTGTGCTGTAATTTTCTTTGTTCTTCATTCAGTCCGCTTCTGATTTTGAAAATCTATATCAAATCTCCTCTCAGCCACCTTCTCTCTGATGAAAACAGCCCCAACTTCTTCAGTTGATTCTCATACTGAAGTTTCTTATTCCTGAAACCATTCTTGTAAATCTCCCATGCATTCAGATCTTTTCTATAATGTGGTGTTCACAACTGTACGCAGTAAGGTCTAACAAGTATCTTGTACGAGTTTAACATCCCCTCCTGGCTCTTGTACTCTATGTCCCTATTAATAAAGCCGAGGGCACTGTCTGCTTTATTAACTGCTCTCTCTCCCCCTGTCCTGCCACCTTCAGTGATCTGTGAACCCCAGCCCCCTCTGCTCCTGCATCCTCTCTAGAATTGTACCCCCTATTTTACATTGTCTTTCAATGTTCTTGTGACAAACACTTTATAAGAACTTAAGAACGAGGAGCAGGAGTAGGCAATTCAGCCCCTCAAGCCTGCTCTGCCATTTTATGCAATCATGGCTGATCTCATCTCAGCCTCAACTACACTTAGCTGCCCACTGTCCATAATCCTTCTTCTCATTATTTGCTTCATCAATGACATTCCGTCATAAAGTCAGAAGTGGGGATATTCACCGATGATTGAACAATGTTCAGCACTGAAGCAGTCCATATTCAAATGCAAAAAGGTCTGAATAATATCAAGGCTTGAGCTGACAAGTGGCAAGTGACATTCACACCACACAAATGCCAGGCAATGACCAACACCAGTAAGAGACAATCTAACCACTGTCCCTTGACATTCAATGGTGTTACCATCATTGAATCCCCCACTATCAACATCCTGCAGATTACCGTTGACCAGAACAGCAGGTCAGAGGCTAGGAATACTGCAGTGAGTAACCAACTTCCTGACTCCCCAAAGCCTGTCCCACCATCTACAAGGCACAAGTCAGGAGTGTGATGGAAAACTCCCCACTTGCCTGGATGGGTGCAGCTCCAACAACACTCAAGAAGCTCGATACCATTCAGGACAAAGCAGCCCGCATGATTAGCATCCACTCCCTCCACCACAGACGCTCAGTAGCAGTAGTGTTTATTATCTACAAGATGCACTGCAGAAATTCACCAAAGATTCTCAGACAGCACCTTCCAAACCCACGACCACTTCCATCTAGAAGTACAAGGGCAGCAGATACACTGAAACACCACCATCTGCAAGTTCCCATTCAAGCCATTCCCAATCCTGACTTAGAAATATATTGTCATTCTTTCACTATTGCTGGGTCAAAATCCTGGTATTCCCTCCCTCGGCATTGTGGGTCTATCTACAGCACATGGACTGCAGTGGTTTAAGAAGGTCAGAAGTCACACAACAGCAGGTTGTGAGTCACACAACAGCAGAGTTGAACAGATTTATTTGAAATCACAAGCTTTCTGAGTGCTGCTCCTTCATCAGTTGAAGTGGAGGGCAGTGCACAATCACAGAATATATAGCCAGAGAGATAATGGCAAGTGAAAATGAAAGAACGGACAGATAAATATTCAGCAATTAGAGTGTTTCAACTTGGAGATGGTGTATTGGAATTAGAGCCTTTACAAGATAAACCTTAGAAAGTGAGCTTCAGTGGTTCCTGTAAAGTAGCTCCAGTAAGTTTGACAAAAATGTTTTCCCTTTCATAAATCCATGTTGACTTTGTGTAATCCCGTTGCTATTTTCTAAATGTCTTTTTGTCATTCTTTGAAGTAGATTCCAACATGCTATGCTAACCAGTCTGTAATTCCCGGTTTTCTCCCTCTTTTTTAAACAGTGGGGTTATACTTGCCAGTCTCCAATCTGCTCGGACTGCTCCAAAATCTACATAGTTTTGGAAGATAATAACCAGCGCATCTATTATTTCCAAATCCCCCTCAATTCGTACCCTCGGATGTAACTTATCAGACACAGGGGATCTATCAGCTTTCAGTTCTATTAATTTCTCCAGCAGCTTTTTAAAACTTTTATCTTCTTCCCAAAAGACCTTCTTTCCCGAGCATTGTTGGGAAAACAGAACAAACAGACTACCCCCCAGATCTCCCCTTTCTGAGGACGAACGGTCAGTCCTCAGTAAAGGGCTTACTTTTGTCCCCCTCCACCCACACATCAACGGATACCGGTCACGTTTGGACATAGAGCAGTTTTTCCGCCGCCTCCGCCTCCACGCTTACTTCTTCAACCGTGAACCTAACCATCCCTCTACTGACCCCTTCTCCCACCTCCAACACACCCCCTCCTCCGAGACACCACCCCAAGGCCTCCTACCCTCCCTTGACCTCTTCATCTCCAACTGCCGTCGAGACATCAATCGCCTCAACCTCTCCACCCCTGTCACCCACTCCAATCTCTCCCCCGCAGAACGTGCAGCCCACCACTCCAATCCCAACCTCACCATAAAACCTGTGGACAAGGGAGGCGCATTCGTAGTATGGCGCACTGACCTCTACATCGCCGAGGCCAGACGCCAACTCTCCGACACCTCCTCTTACCGCCCCCTTGATCATGACCCCACCCCCGAGCACCAAACCATCATCTCCCAAACCATCCACAACCTCATCACCTCAGGTGACCTCCAACCTCATCGTTCCCCAACCCCGCACCGCCCGCTTCTATCTCCTTCCCAAAATCCACAAACCTGAATGCCCTGGTTGACCCTTTGTCTCCGCCTGCTCCTGCCCCACCGAACTTATTTCCAACTATCTGGACTCCATTTTCTCTCCCTTGGTCCAGGAACTCCCTACCTACATCCGTCACCTCCTCCAGAACTTCCAATTCCCCGGTCCCCAACACCTCATCTTTACCATGGACGTCCAGTCCCTCTACACCTGCATTCCCCATGCAGATGGCCTTAAGGCCCTCCGCTTCTTCCTGTCCCGCAGGCCCGACCAGTCCCCCTCCACTGATACCCTCATCCGCTTAGCCGAACTCGTCCTCACACTCAACAACTTCTCTTTCAATTCCTCCCACTTCCTACAGACAAAGGGGGTAGCCATGGGTACCCGCATGGGCCCAAGCTACGCCTGCCTCTTTGTAGGTTACGTGGAACAATCCCTCTTCCGTACCTACACCGGCCCTAAACCCCACCTCTTCCTCCGTTACATTGATGACTGTATCGGCGCCGCCTCGTGCTCCCACGAGGAGCTCGAACAGTTCATACACTTCACTAACACGTTCCACCCCAACCTTAAGTTAACTGGACCATCTCTAACACCTCTTTCCCCTTCCTGGACCTCTCTGTCTCCATATCGGGCAACCACCTAGGAACCGATATTCATTTCAAGCCCACCGACTCCCACAGCTACCCAGAATACTCCTCCTCCCACCCACCTTCCTGCAAAAATGCTATCGCCTATTCCCAATTCCTTCGCCTCCGCCGCATCTGCTCCCAGGATGAGGCATTCCACTCCCGTACATCTCAGTTGTCCTCGTTTTTCAAGGACCGTAACTTC